GAAAGAGGTTCTTGGGGTCGCCCAGAAAGGTGACCCAGAGCCAAACGTTCTCCAGCCAGGGCAGCTGATTCTGCAGCGCCTCAGCCATCGCGATGCCCGCGCCCAGCGTGGACTCCATGGCGACCCAGAAGCCGACCCGGCCAGCGTTTGATCTAGGGCGTAAGACAAGGAGCCCAGGAGGCAAGGAAGCTGCTACTCACTGCCCTCTAAAGCCCACCCGTCCAAGTAGAGACCCCGCCCCCCAACTGCGGCCGGCGAAACCCCGCCCCTTACCCCGCCCCCGGCAGTCCCAGGCTAGGGCGAGCCCGGCCTCCCACCCGGTACCGTTTCCTCCTGAGCTCCTCCCCGGCCTTCCTTTCTACTGGGCAGCGCAGGGGACAAATCTTTGCGAAGGCGTTTCCGTAGAGCCCCACGTGGCTGCTGTTGCCGGCACGTGGGCATCGGGTGTAGAGGCGGCTCCTGCTGCTGTTCCGGGTCAAGGGACAGACTAATCTGAGGATCGGCGGCGCGTCAAGAGTTCTTCCTTTGCTGTCGTGAAGATAGATATGTAATCTCCAGGGCCAGGATTCCTTCCAGACCAGACCTTTCTCCTTCAGTACCGCTACCTTCCAAAGATATTTCGAAATCTCTTGGAGAGAGAGCTAGGAACAACCCCTGCTCCCGGGAGCCAGGAATCACGGGTCCACGCGGAAGCCGGACTCTAATAAGTTTGCACACACAACTCATTGGTCCATGCCTTCCTCCCCTAGCCCAAGACTCTCTCGCCCGAATTCATTCGTTGTTGATTTGGAGGCTGACAAATAAGGCTCTTGATTTTTGAGGAGTCTTCCCTGAAGACTTGAGAGTTCTTACATATAGCACAGTCTAAGTCACTTCCTCCCAGTTCTAAGGTTGCCTTGTCCATCTCCTTCCGTTACCTCTCTTCCAAAACCCCGCTGGGCAGATAAATCATGAGGTAGTAGCTGAGTTAGTACGGGAAGAGGAGGGGCAAACACCCACGACAAAATCTGGAATAATTCTCTGGAGGAACACACGCAGAAAATAGAAATCTCAGCTCTCCTAGGTAAGGTCCTGCCTAGAGGCAGAGGAGTGGTAGGAGGAGACTGTTGAAGTGGCTCCCCAGTTCCTATCTCAAGCAATTTTGTTCTTGGAGAGTTTTTTGAGGGGTGAAAATGAGACTGTAAATCTGGGCTCTTCTTGTTAAGAGATTAATTTCACTGATTAAAAAGGTGTGGGGGAAGGAAGCTGGATAAAAATCTCATTTCACTCCCTTGCTAAGTGTTTTTCAATTGCCCCAGGGTAAAAGCCTAAATTTTCTAAGGCTTTGAAAGTTTGCTTGGGTTCTAGCCGGACAAACAATAGCCCACTCCCACACTCTGTTTCATAATATTTCTGAGCTACTATATCATCCCTTAAATTACCAAGTCTCTCTCCTTTTAGGGATCCTGACATGTGTGGTTCCCTCTGCCTGGAACATGGACACTCTTTCCCTCTTTGTCCTCACATCTCAGATTTTTCACTTCCTTCAGGAAGCTTTTCCTAAGAGTGCCTGGCAGTCATATATGAAAACCTATAATTACAATGCCATATAAAAAGTGGAGTGCCAGTTACCTATGATTTGTTATGGGGGAGACAGGAAAGTTCTCTGAAAGAATTGAAGTATGAGGGAGCAGAATGTTTATTTCTATTACAGTGATTGTACTAATATTGGCCCAACATTAGGAAGTTGATGTCTCTTGCAAGGCAAGGAAACACTTTTGAAATTGTTCAGGTTAAGTAGTGCCAGGACTGGCCCATTGCCTCCCTCTGAACTAGAGAAAGATCAACCTGTTGTTATTCATACAGGAGGCTCTAGAATTTCTACAGTGGAAGGGTAGGTGGGTTAGGGATAGCAATTGGTGATGGTCGTGCTTGAAAATGCATCTGCATAGTACTTACACCTTAAGAAGACTGTTTTGTATACAAGATGGTTATTAATAGGGGGCCCAAAATTCCTTTGTCACTGCCACTGCTCCTCAGTATAGCCCTTTGCCTTGTTTTCTAGAGAAAAGGGCAAGATGGGGAAGAATCCTGAGTTCCAAGGGTGATAGGTGATAACACAGGAAGTATCATTTATTAAAGATCTACTAAATGCCATGCATTTGTACACATTATCTCATATAACCTAAGTACTCTATCAAGTATTACCTAATATAGCAGAGCAGTAAATAGCAGCTCAGCGTCTTTGGAAACAGGTAGACTGAATCCTTGTTAGATGAGCGACCCTGGACAAAGTTTAGTCTAAGATTTAGTTTCTTCATCTGTTAAATGAGGATATTGATTCCCACTTCGAAGGGTTGTTGGATGCTCAGTAGTGATAATAGAGAAGGAGTAAAGAAACAGGATCAGGTTTAGTAATTTGCTCAAGGTCATACAACTTAGTGGGATCCCAGTTCCGGTTTGGCTAATTCTACGGCCAATGTTGTTTCCATTACCAATTTGTAATTAGGTATAATCGTTTTGAGCAAGTTTCATTAAGTCCTCTGGAGCTCGGATTCCTCATATGTAAAATGATAGAGTTCATTCATTAAATTCGTGTGTCAAGCAAGGGGTGCATGTAATGGAGACTGCATTTCCTTTCTCCTCTTTTTCATTCCACGTAGGTCATTTATCTTTAACTTCTAAAATGGACCATGCAAGCACCTTACTAAGCGGGCATAGCTGCACAAACATAATTATTCAGATTCCCCTTTATTTCCTCTTCTTTACTGTACCACCTAGGCTCCCGCCCCACCCAGCCCCAGGCCACGCCCCGGAGCGTGACGTCAGCACGCCCCGTACGTCGCGGCGCGGCGCTCACTGGGGGCCCGGCTTTCGCCC